GAAAAGGGAGAAGGAAAAGGGAGAAGGAAAAGGGAGAAGGAAAAGGGGAGGATTAGAAGGTGGAAAGAAGCATTGATACAGCACCAGGCACTGTGCTAAGTGCTTTCTTATTTGCTCCTCACGACTGTGAAGTTGGCTTTGTTATTCTCCCCACTTTACAGTTGAGAAAACTGAAGCAGACACAGATTAAGTGATTTGCCCAAGTCACACAGTTAAGTCAGTGTCTAAAGCTGGATTTGAACTCAGGTCTTATTGACTCCAGGCCAAGCACTCTGTGTACTATGGCACTACCTAGCTGCCTCAAGGAAGGCAAAAGAACAGCTATCCCAATACCACCTTTGGAAGGCCACTGATGCTCTGTTTTTCACTAATGATTATACACTGCACGATGATTTCTTTGGACAGGGCCTCTTGCAGCCGAGTTGTCCTGGGGTTTCGTCTGTTCTTAATATTCCCAAGAATTGGGGTTCCAAAAGCAGATTAAAAGAAAGAACTTGGATGTCACAAAGGAGGTCTTAATAAAATTTGTCAATGAAGATGGCAAAAGGAAGGCATAGAGTAAAACAATTGCAGTCTGGGAGACTGCAGATATTTTCCCACTCAACAGGATTTGTCAAGCAATTAGTTATTTACATCTTTGAAGAATTGGTCTAAATGGCTAGCCAGTCATCAACCTTTGACCAACCTTATCTTTTCTGTATGCATACCCCAAACCATAGCTTGGAATTTTTATTCCTAAGGCAAGTATCACAAACTATGTTTGGGGCAAATGGCATGAAATCACCCTCAATTGGAGAAGAGGGAGTAGAAGAGACCCAGAACATTACACCCTTACACAGAGTCAGACTTCCCAGGTCCACCATAATGGCACTGTGGTGGAATGGAAGTGGTCACTCCTGATTGCCACATGGGAACTTCCTATTTTAATCCATTATTCTTGCTAAGTATTAAGCTCTGTTATGTCTATGCTACAGAAGGACTGAAAGTATTTATCAGTGTTTTGGGGCAAAACCTCTTGGCCACCCCCACCCAAGTTAGAGCTCTATTTGTACTGGAGAGTTTCTATCTCTGTTTATCAACAAGTAACCAGCCTGATTTTAAAACAAGAATATCACCTAGTCCTTCAGCCATCTGTAATTTCTTACTTGTCCTGTAATATCAAGTCTATCTACTGACATACACCTTTCACCACTACTTGTATATACCTTCTTGCATTGTGCATCCTTCATCTTATGAAGTTTCTGATTTTCTTGCTCTTTAAGGGTGTTCTTAAGCACTTCACTTTTGGCCTGCAATGCGTAAAGCAGGACATTAGTATCACATGCTAAACATGGCAACAAGCACTCAGCAATCTTATTGGGAAGATGGTAGACTCTTGATAAACACTCATTGATTACTGGATCAGCATATGAACAGACAAAAGGTGTTCTTTCAGGAACATTAAGAAAGGACAACATTGTGCATGAACCTACGTAGCCTTGCTTCAATGGGTGATTTCAGAGTTCGTTTAATTAAGCTTTAAAAATATCCTCTCTGAGATAAATCGATGTTTATTCATTCTACACATAAAAACCAGAGGCATAGAGAGGTTAAGCACTTTGCTCATGAACCCCTAGCCTGTGGATCAGTCAATATATCAGAGGCAGGCAGTGGTGAAAATGGTGGATATTTTCTTGAAGAACTGACTAGTCTGTCATTTGTGTCCTGTTAAGTGATCTGTTCATTGGTGATGCTATAAAATAGGCCAATTTAGCTAGGATGTAGGGTATGGGAAGGGGAATCATGTAGAATAAGTGAAGAGAGATAGTTTCAGTGCCTTAACAAGATGATACCCAGAAGCAGAGCCCATTTTACATGGTTCCATGAGCAATTATACAATTTGAATGTTGCCTTAGCTGTGAAGAACCCAAAGAGAGCTTCGTGGAAAGCTACATGTAATTCCAAAACTTGCTTACCAAGTTGTGGTCCTTAGGCAGGGCAGGGAGTTTCTGTATAAAAATAAGGGGAAAAAAAGTTTAAAACTCTCCCTCAGTTCTAAGCCCTAGAAAGATGCCACTGACAGATTTACTCACTTGCACTCCCATTAAACAGTAAGTAACATAAAAACAAAGGCAGTCCCAACTGGTAAATTATCCTGAAAATCTTCCATTCAAACAGAATGCCTTAATTTCCACTTACTTCCTTCTTCTCCCCAACTTTCCCCCCCTCCCTCGAAGGAGAATTTTAAATTACCATTCTTTTCATGTCCAAAGAAATAAGAATAGCACACATTTATTGGCATCACTTACAATCCAGCCTTTTTGCATAGCACCCAAGATTGTCTACCTCCCACTATTCCTGTCACTACTAACATGTATCATTCATTGATATATGATATATTTATCCACATACACATAGCAGTGATACATGAAAAACACACTGCAAAGACAGCTTTTCTCTTGGGAAAATGGTACTGGATAGTTGGAGTCAGGGCTAAATGCTTCCAAGCCTTAGAAACAACTAGTCTATTTCCCATATAACAAGCCAGCCAATAATACTCAACTTCTACATCTTTTATCTACAATTATTTCTCTTTCAGTAAAACACAGTGGACATCAAGGAAATAGAGCATTTACTAAATATAGCAAAGACTCCGCTAAAATATGCAAAATGGTCCAGGATAGCATTCTCAGAGGTGTACCATGCATATGGATTAGACAAAACAAATGCAGTAAAATATGGATACACAGTCAGTTAACAGTATTGAGCACAAACTAATTATTAATGGTTTAGAGGCAAGATGGAGTTCATAAGAAGCCAGTTTGTGCCCAACACAGCTCCACGATTTCTATTAACAACTTGGAAGATTGTGTGGCTCATACACTAATCAACTTGCCACTGGAAATGCCTGTCAGGGAAGGATTGTTAAGACTTTAGAAGACAGGATTAAAATTCAGAATGATCCCATTAAATTGGAGAAATGAGCCAAAATAAATAGAGCAAGAACACATAGAATGACCAGATATGCCAACTGGAAAAGAATATGAAGAAGGCCCAAAAAGAAAAGTACTAATACATGCCTCAACCCTCTTCACAGTTGCCCAAAATCCCAAATGCTAATCTCTTAAACTCCTGCTGTCTTACTCCCATGCCCAGGCCTATAGGGTCATTGAGAAAGATCTCAGTAGGTTTGGTCATTGATTTCTTCCCATTACCCCCCATTTACCAAACCCTTTCTCCCAAAGACCTGTAGGTAAGCAAGATTAAAAAAATTGAGTTGGGAGGGTCACTGGGGACATTTACACTGACAATTCACACTTGGCAGCTGAACAGTTGTCCTGGGGGATGCTGAAAATGAAAGATGCCCCACCTTGGAGATTGCAGCTGGCAGTTTGAACATGTAGTAGGAGACCTGCCCCTAAGTAAGTAAGGCTAGTTTTTTCCCTAAAAGGTATTGGAACATCTTTGAGACTTGATTGGCTCAGGGGACTAAAGGTTCCAACTATTGACATCACTTCTTTTTTCACCCAGGTACAAACCAAGCACTGTCTGATGCGTAGTTGATGAAGTTCAATGGGCAACTCAGAAGCTCAGCTGAATCAACTAGGGAGACCTTCAATCTATATCCTTGTTGGCTATTCTTTTTCTTAGCCATTGCTCAGCAAATTTCCTTTGTTAGCTATGAGTTATTTCTTTCAAATATCAAACTTGACTTGACACTTACTAGCTGTGTGACCCTGGGCAAGTCACTTAATCCTAATTGCCTAAAAAAAAAAATCAAATATCGAACTTGAACTATCAAGAGTCAAGCTCAACCCAGAATAACTACATTGACTCAAAAATAAAAATCAGAAATGAATGCAGTAATATGAAGATGGTACACTTCTGGGAGTTCATCTCCACTCTGAGGAAACATCCCGCAGAATGAGAAGCTGCTTTCTTACTTTGAACAGGATCACGCCAAAGTTTAAAAAAAAGAAAGAAAAGAAAACTTTGGGCTTTTTTCTGTTCAACTTTATTATTCCTTAAATTTTTATCATAACCATCTATTATATAAGATGTTAAAAATGTGTTTTTTCTTAGCTCCTAAAGGAGTTCAGTCAGTCAAGGAAAAAAAAAAGAACCAAGCTGTCCTGTGCCTTTATGTTTGAAAGAAATCTCTTTCATGTAGTCATAAAGGCACAAATCTACAAATAATCCCCCTGAAAATTAGTAATCATATAAATATATACCCATGTAGTTTTTAACCACCACTCTCCCCCCAAAAAATTCTTCCCTTTTATAAATTCTTCAATTAATAGCCCAAGTTCACTTTAATGATACAGGAAGTGTCATAAAACAGAGATTATCCTTTTTCTATCACTAGTAATCAATGCTTATAAAGGGCTCATTCAGATTTTGGCTGACTGAAGTTCACTTTTCCTTGAGAGGAAGTGAAAGTTACCCAAGTTTGGGGTCTTGCAGACCTGGAGCTTTCACTGTGATTCAGCTCCCAAGCTCTCAATACTGTCCATCCACTGGGAGCCACAATCTGGAGGCCACCAGTAACTCTGTCATCATCAAATCTCTAACAACTAGCCCCCGCAAGCCACATGAGGGGGAAATACAGACATACTACAAGTATTAGCTTGGCAACTGTAAATCTCAAAAGGGTATCTCACCTTCAGTCTCTAAGCTACTTGACAGGCTTACTGCTAAAATCATGTCTCTACAGATAGACCAGCCAATCTCATCCATGGCCATGGAGCTGTCAATAACAACAGTATCATTAGAGCCCAGAAGTGCTCTCTCGAAGGTTCTAGCACCAAAAAAGGCTGGTACCTTAAGTAAATCATGACCAAGATAAAATGACAGGTCGGAATGCTACTTTAACTAGGAAATTAATTCTACAAAGATCATTTCACTCTCCAGTTATGAGGGTGTCATTCTGCGATTCAGTAAATGACCTGCCCAGAATCAAACTAAAAGTTACTTCTGAAGAGTAAACTTACAGTACTTTACAAGTGCCACAACTTGATCACAAACATCAGCGAGGGAGACAGAAGGTGTTTTTAAGCCCAATTTGTAGGAGGAGAAACAGAGAACATGCAATTCCCTGAGGGTCACAGTTCAATACCTTATAGTCCAATGTCCTACATCGTCCTCCAATGCTCAAGACCGAGCATTCTGCCTCCCTGGGGTTCAGCCATGGAATGATTCCTAATCAGCACAGACTCATGAAACATGCTACCTGTGATATTGCAAGCCACTTACCCATATTGTGCATTGTGTGTCAGGATGAGAAGTTTGATGGGAGCTTCTGGTAGGAACCTTTGGTTCCAGGCTACTCAAGAATTCAGAGGATTTGCTGACAATATAAATAGATTTGTTAGTTCTTTTAAGAAGAGGGAAAGAGAGAAAGCACCACCACATTTTTATTGCACCTTTGGATCCCAGCCTGAACTTTTATTGAGCAATGACTAAAAAAAAAAAAATCATAGGTAGAACAGAAGGTTATGCTGAGAACAGAGCAAAGTAGAAAATCAAAACACAGTGATGTGATAATAAGTTGTTCTCAAGGACTATTACTTTGGAAATTTCAACGCTTGTTTAGTGATGTGTGAGCCCATGATTATTACAATCCTTTCAACTTTGTGTTGCTGATGTGGAGATTAATGTTCTTTCTGATTCTCCTACTACTGGTACCTGATTTCCTACATGGACACTTAAAGCCAGGCACTCAGACTTCCATATCGTCTGGAGAGATAGATTAATCTACTCTTCCAGCTCAAGTTTTCTATTAAGCATCATTTTACCTGCCTGGGGCCACTTTACCTCTTGTGCTGTTATTTCCCCTCTGCTTCTCAGTATTGCAAAAGACTTCACAGGTTAGAATCCAACCCCTACCCAAAGCAGGAATAGCTAGCTAGCTCTGTTGTCAGGGCTATCCTTGATTGTCCTACAGATCTATTATCATTGTAAAAGCTTAATTTTCAGTCTTTTATACATCCACCTAATGCATCCTCAGTTTTAATAAGCTCTTTATTATTCTCGCATTCCTCAAATTACTATACACATCCACTTATCTGCTTACAAATTCCATCTCCCCCATTCTATCTCCCTTCCTCCCCTAAAATATAAGGCCCTTGAGGGCAGGGACTGTTGCCCAGTTTCATCTTTGTATCCCTAGGACCTGGCAGTGTTTTGAACATGGCGGGCTGGGGGATAGGGACTGTACCTTCCACAGCAGATTTGCACTTTTTCAATTTACAATCCTACAGAATTGCCATGGGCACAGGGAAGTGACTTGCCCAATTATGGAGCCAGAATGTGTCAGAAGTGAGAATTTCATTCAAGTCTTCCTGATTCTGAGACAGACTCTTTCTGTCCTCCATACCAAAAGGAACTCTGTACAGAGGAGACACTTAAATGTTTGTCGGATTGGATTATAGTTCGATTAGGAGACCTCCTCTGTCTCTGTCTCTCTCTCTCTCTCTCTTCCCTCCCCCATTGCCGCTCTCATCTCCCTCATTTTGTCAATTAATTAATTAAACGGGCTTCTAGTTATTACTTCAAGTTCTCAAGCTTCCACTTCCTTAGATGACAGAGTGGGTAAGAGCACTGAACCTGAATGAGGAAGACCAAGGAGTTAAAATCCCACCTCAGACACTTGTTAACTATGTGACCCTGCACAAGTCATTTCAACTCTGTCAGCCTCAGTTTCCTCATCTATAAAATGATGATAATAGCACTTATTTCACAGCATTGTCATGAGAATTAAATAACACATGTAAACTTTATTACCCTTAAAGCACTATATAAATGACAGCTATTGGCATCATTATCACCATTATTATCATTCTTCTTCACCACTAATAAAAAGAAAAGCAGAGACAGTAGGATTTATCATCTATGAATTCACCCCATTCTTCAATTCCTATATCCAGGCACTCTTCATCTTGTGCTCAAGCTGCTCAAACCTATTCCTTATCAGCTTCCTAGGTTCCAGTCTCCCTTTTTTTCTCTTTAATGTGACAGACTAATATAAAGGTCTGACCCTCCCAAGTGATAAGAGGAAAAAAAATCCAAAACCAGGTACAAAATAGCTTGTCAAAAGCAAACGAGAAATTAGAAATAAAACAAAGTGCCAGCATCATTCCAAATAATTACTTAACAGGAAGATGGCATTCAAACAAGGTGAAAGGATCGAGCTATGAGTGGAACTAAAAGTGAAAGGGACTACATGACTCTGAACAGTACAAGGATAAGTCAGCTGAGACCAGCAGCCTTTCCATTTGTCTGCCATGACTTATCTCATCCAGGATAGACAAGGAGAGGAATGGAGTTGCCGAGTCAGGAAGCTGCCCCACTGTCTATGACTTGATGAAGTCATCAGTCAAAAGCTTTTTTTTGGGGGTTTTTTTTTGTTTTTTTTTTTTTTTTGCTTTGGTTTTTTAAAGAGCTACAAGAGGTTTGCAATAAGATTACTGACCGACTGTCCTTAGTTGGGTGCAGACCAAGAGAGAAAATAACAGGGAAGAAATTCAATGATAATCAAATGAAGGAACCCCAGACAAAGTCAAACATCCCAGCAATCCCCTGGAACCTGGGATTTTTGCTACTGAGAAGTCATTGAACGGGTAAAGAATCTTCATTGTTTGCTCTAATGACACCACCCTGGGCCATGCTGCTGAATTTGGGGCAGACTGTAATCCCATGAGAAACACTGCTACATGGGTAAAAGTTTGAACCTGTAAGGCTGAAGGGAAATTACCATAAGGTGGCACCTAGGCAGGCTCCATACTATCTTCTGATGGGTGGGTTAGTTGGTATAATGGTCTCAATCCAAGTGTCCCATTCTTCTCTGGAGATAAGGAGGTAGAAAAGGTGGGTGGGGTTGCAAATAGATAAGTGATCAAAGGGTATGAAGAAGCAGTTTCAAAGGAAGAAATATAAGTTACTGATAACCACATGAAAAATGCTCCAAATCCCTAATGATTAGTGAAATGAAAATTAAAGCAACTGAGATTGGCAAAGATAAAAGAAGTACGTCGGAGGGGTTGTGGGAAAACAGGCACATTAGTGCATATTAGGGAAACTGTGAATTGGCTTTGTCATTTTGGAAAGCAATTTGAAACTATGCTTCAAAAGTCACTACATTCTTCATACTCTTTGATCCAATGATATTACCAGTAGGACCTATACCCTCAAAGAGATCAAAGAAAAAGGAAAACAAAAATTTTCATAGTAGCTGTAGTCTGGTAGAAAATATTGCAAATCTAGGGAATGGTCACCGCTTGGGGAATGATGAAACAAATTATCACATATGAATGGAGTGGAATGATATCACATAATAAGAAATGGCAAAAACAGACAATTCCAGAGGAAAATGAGAAGACATCTATGAACTGATGAGAGTACAGTAAGAATAAGTAGGAAGGCAATTCATACAATGAAAACATGGTAAAGAAAAACAACTCTGAAAGACTAGAAGTCTGATCGATGCACCAGCAACCGTGATTCCAGAGTTTCAAAGGTGGAATACTGAAGAGGTTAGGGATGCTGACACAGTTTGGGGGTGCAGGGACCCTGAGAATGCCAAGACAGAGTTACCTAGAACAAATTCACATATTCAAGCCTTCTTTTAGTCAAATGGCAAAACATGTATTATAACACTTCAGCAAAAGCCAGGAAGGGTCGTTAGGGAACCTGCAAGATAGTGAGGATGGTGCTGGGGCTTTTATGGAAAAAGGACAAAGGAAAGGATGCCGAGGATTCTAATTAGGTAATCTAGGGGTCCAGGTGTCTTTTGGGAGCAGGTGCCTATGATCAATGGATGGGAAAATACAGGAGAGTGCAGAGATAACTTTGTTGATAGCAGACATTGAGGGAGTTGTCAGAGGCATGGACCTTGGGGATCTGGTGCAAGGGAGATTCCCTGGGCCAGCTAAGGACAAAAATCCTTGGACCAGTCACTGGTGGGTGTCTGTTCTACTAAGAGAACATGTTCTGCAACAAGAGAAAATTTTCTCACAGGGCAAGGGCCTAAGAAATTGGGAGGCGTCCAGAGACCTGATCTTAGGGCTTGGGCCGGAACACTCCAACAGTCTAATCGCCACATCCTGCCAAAAGTGATAGATGTAACATGCAGAATGATACGTAGCAATGTGGATCTTTTTAAACTCTATATATTTATCATGAAGGTTTTCTTTTCTTTTTAATTGTACAATGAGGGAGAGGAAGCAGAGTGGGAGGAAATAAAGACGTGCTTGCTAATTTAATGTGATGGCTTTTTGTTATTGTTGTCATTTCAGTCCTGACTCTTCGTGACCCCATTCGGGGTTTTCTTGATCGAGATACTGAAGTGGTTTGCCATTTCCTTCTCCAGCTTGTTTGACAGACGCAGAAACTGAGGCAAACAGGGTTAAGGAACTTGCCCAAGGTCATATAGCTAATAAGTGTCTGAAGCTGGAGTTGAACTCAGGAATACGAGTCTTCCTGACTCCAGACCTGGCATTCTATCCACTGCATCACCTAGCTACCCTTAACACTAATGCTAAAAATAAACAAAATTAGACTTTTTTTTAAATTGAAGAAAAAAGAAAATGGAGTTAGGGATGGAAATCCACATAATTCTCCCTCCCTCCTTAACAGATCATAACCTTGGAAAAAGAAGTGTGGAGATGGAGGGATAAAACCATGTCATCACACTAGAAGGATGTTCTTTTAATCTAAAAGATGCCTGTTAGAGTGGGAGATCCCTCTTCCACTATCCTTGAGGCACTAGGAACCTAAAGAGTTCCCCTTGGTTCAGTTCTATTCCCTACCTACAACCTCAGACCCACCCTGGAACCTAATGGGTTTTGGTTCTTCTTTTCTCTTGGGACTAGGAAGGTGAAAAGGTGAGAGGCACAGGGAGGAACAAAACCTGTGCCTGCCAGACTGATGGTTTGTCCCCTGGCATTCATATAATACTTGATTTCTATTCAGATAGCTTTAAATTTTACAAAGTTAAAGCAGGTATGGATAGTCCACTTAGGGAGGTTGTGTGTTTGTCTTTCATTCTGGAAGAGGACCATGACATCAGGGAGATGATGACATGACCTGCAATTGACTTTGATTTGAGGGAGGGAGGACTGTGCAAAGTCACCAGTCTCACTTTCTTCTTCAGAGCCATCTGGGTCCGGTGGCCAGATAGTCACCACTTTTCAGACAGGCCAAAAGAGAGCAATCAATCAAGCTTTCCAGCAGACAGATATGCATAATAAAGACAGGAACATTGGCTGCGTAGGTGGATAACACCTATCTGCCCTCCTACAGTCAATCTTTTGTTTTGGCTCAAATTCAGACCCAGTTTTCCATCCCAGA